CTGATTCGTAGCCGGTATGACTTGACTTCCTACTGATGCATGGTCGCTCTCTGTTCAAAGGCTTTAGTATGGCAACGACTGACCAATGAACTGCGGGGCCTGCTTCTGAAACTTGTTGATAGCATACTGGAAGGGACCGATCTTTTCAAGCTGAACTGGTGGGACTGTTGAGTCCAGAAGCGCCAGAAGCTCTGCGTCGCAGTGGCGGTACATAAACCTGAGCGCTATTAGAGGGGTGGCTGCTGGAATGGCTCCTGATCAAAATCCCGTAAGAGACCAACATCAAACGCAATTCTCTGAGAAACGATTTAAGCATGTTCGGCATCTCTGCGTCGCAGAAGGCCTTGGGGTACTTCTCCCTGAAGGCTTTCTCAACAAGTTGCCACGTGATGCAAGACCGGGCCAACGGCTCCTTAGACTGCCGGAAACGAGCAATGTTACCATGGTCTTCATTCCAAATGCGGCTGCTCATATTTGGTGTGACCGTTGTAGCCCCTTGAAATCACCACCCAAACACCAATGGCTCACAACTGTAGGCTCCACTTTTCGTGCGTTTGGAAGATGCAACCAAATGAAATGACCCAATGCTTCCCACCAATCCCTGGTGGACTCCCAAAAAACACAATTGACTCTGTTGATGATTTAGCGGCTAGCTCCTTGGATGACCACGGTTTGCGCATCTTGACATTCAGTGTGCTGTAGTTGTGGCTCATACGTTTTGTCATGAGTTGTAGGGAGTCTTCACTCAGAACCAGAACATCTTGCCAAGCAGAATGGCTTGCAGCTGCCACCGACACACCTGGCATGAAGAACTGGTTGGCAATGCTCTCATGCGTCAGGAACTTTGCCATTCCCCAAGTCCTTGCTTGCCCGAACGTCCGGGCTACATTTGTCATAGACAAAGAAGGAACCACAGCTTGAGACAACTTGCGATAAACAAAAATTGACTGCGCAAGGCCAGCGAGCTTGCACATGTTTGCCAATTCCTCATAAACAGTCGGAGGAACATGGTGGACTAGCTGAATAGCTGCTGCTGCTGCTGCTTCCTGCCGGCCTTTTGCAAGGCGCTCATCAAACCAGAGGTCGTGTTCCAAGCCTGGCGAACGTTGATTCTGGACAGAAAATTGCAACAAAACATATGACAAGAACGGTTCAAACATCACATTATATGCCTCTAGGTCTTCTGCTTTTCCAGTAAGCCTCTCCATCATTTTCACCTGATGTACCAGATTCAGTGCGTTGGGTTTTCGCCGCAGGTTGGCGCTAGCAAGCGTGATTCCTGCATGTGAACCAAATCCGGACAAACAGTTGGAGATCTCGTTCCAAGGTTACAAAATATAAACACAACTCCTCGGTTCTCATGGATCAGCTGCCCTGGGCTTGACTGGCCCGGCACTGCGCAGACTGTGGCATGGATCTTATGCAGAGTCCTGGGCGACAGCTCCTTTTGCACTTAGACTTCCAAACCGAGAAAGTTCACTCACAAATGTACACTGAACCTCATGGTTTTTCACAGTCACATCCAAAACCAGATCACTCCAAGTAGAGGTGAGGGTCGACTGGCAATTGTCAGGCCACGCCTTCAGCAATGAAACATCATGTTATATCGGGCGGAGTCCTTTGATCGGTAACTTCAAAAATTAACAATCAGTTGACTTCACATCGCCGGCCTGACGCATCTCTTCGCATTCGAACAAGCAAAGCATCACTGTCACCGCTGCCACCGACCGGGCCCACCCCTTGACCATCACGATTGCCTGCGGCTGTAGTATCGATTGGTCAATGCCCAAGTCCTGACAGGTAACATCGTGCTGCGGACGAAGACCTGCATCTGGCCGTAGAGCTGAGATGGCCAGCTTTTCAACTCCAGGCGTGTTGGGGTCAGTCAGAAACCTTGGCAACGAACAAGCGAGCACTATGGAAAAATGTTGTGTATTTTGAGGTCAGCACCCCCGCGTAACAACCATTTCACACAGTGCGACGTGGGTTTCCTCGGCCGTGAAGAAGAAAACAATTTCTGAATCTGATGCGGGGGTCAAACAATCAACTAAAGGTGACACCTAACTCGAACCGGAGCACAGGGTCAATGTATCCTTTCATTCCTTGTGAAGCACAATACGGCAAATGATAGGGGCGCAAAAGGACTGCACCACATGAGCCCAAATCATTGGGCCCACAGTACTGCCTTGGAGCCACACAAATACATCGGGCAATTTTCATACAAACGGTCGCCGCAACTGCCAACTCCCAATGAAGCTCATGGCTGGGGCCGGCGCTGGCGGCTGTCTTCTTGGAAATGATTGTTCTGCCAATCGAGGAACTTCACCAAATTCGCCTGACAAATTTCACACAAGAACTCCAAATTCTTTCTGATGGGCGGGTCGATTGAAGGGCTGGCCTTGGTCTTGAACACCTCAGAAAAATAATTCTCTATCGTGGAATGCTGGCTCAGCCGCTCGCTCCTGGAAATGAAAAAAATCAACAGAAACGTGGTTTGCACAAGTATGCTCGAACGCAGTCATCAAACATATAAATTGGTTGGTCTTCTAACTTGCTGCTGGAGCGCAGCCAATCTTGGAAAATTTTCACAGCAGGGCTGCTGCCGTCCACTGTTGATATTGTTGTGTCAGACGCAACATCTGAGATTGCTCGCGCGCTCTTGGACGATCGGCCAGGTGTCGGAGTGTTGCTTTTCCGTTTCGTCATGCCTCTGAAACGGCCGTCAGTTTGAGCCTAGGACCTGTCAAGGCAGAGTAACCAGCTGCGAATCCGTATGCGACTTCTGAAAGATCACTGGACAACAGGAAGTATATAGCAAATTATAGCAAACCTTTTTCGTACCTGCGCAGCCTTGCTCGAAATCTAAGAGTAAATTCCAAATTGGGGCTCCACTCCACAGGTCGACGCCAGTCCATCCTGGCGCGCCAACTGGAACTGAAAACTGCAACGGCTGACACAACAAAATTTCACAGACAGCAGAGTCAAACGAGCAAACCATCCTGTCTTTGGATTTTGTGTGCGAACCCATCAACATATGGTCGTTTTGTGTGCGACCACAACAACAAGTTGGACATTTTGTGTGTGTGTGCAACAACATCGACACTTGTTTGTGTGTGATCACAACAACCACGCACACGTTTTCTGTTTGAGGACGTCCGTTTCAAACACAAAATGAAAATCCTCATTGTGATTGCAGTTTGCTGCAACAAGGATGACAAACTGAAAGGCAAGCCCTGTAAGTTACGCTGCCGCACCCTGTTTTCTGGAACCTTGGGAACCATGGTTGCAAAAAACGCACTGAAAGCACAATCCAGGTGTGCGGCTGGAAGACACATTCTGTGCGCCAACCTGATGGCCTCAAGCTAGAAAACCATGAATTCTAAAAACTTTCTTGACTTTTATTGTTAGAGATAACCACAAAAAATATTTCATTGATATGGCTAGCATGAGTGTGCGAGGCCATTGGCTTCAAGCAGGAAGTCGGGGCCCTCAATTTGCTAAGCGGTTCGTGCTTATGGATCGCTTCAACATTGAAACTTCCGTGTGCGGGCTCGCCAACTCAACACGAAGTCAGAACATCTGATTTTTACAAATCTGCTGACAGACTAATATCAGTCAAAATGCAATCAAATATTTCGGTTTCTCATTGCATTGTATCTTCGACAAAAACAAACCTCACACAAAAACAGCTTTCCAAGCGCAGCCTCCGACAAAAATTAGTCCGCTGAAACTTCGTGCAAAGCTGCATCACAAGCTTCCCTCACTATAGTGAGCGCTGCTTGAAAATCCATACCCGCGGACCACAGCCGGGCAGCTGCAGTGTAAACATGGTGCGACTTGCGCTTTGCTTTGTATCTGTCTAACACTCCTTTCTCCAGCCTTTCGTAGCGCAGTGCCAAATTGTTTGGCGCCTTACGAAACAAAAAATAATTTCATTTCAAATCATTTTCTCAAGACTCAACACTGTGACAGTCAGCCACTTTCAACGAGCAAGTGGCAGGATCCAAACATACAGCTCTTCGTTCAGCTGCACCGAACACGCCAGGGCCAACCACCGGTCCCGGGGCAGGGCAAATCCTCTAGATTTGGCAGTGCTCAAAACTCAAAGCTGTTCGCAAAAAATTGCACTATATGAGTGACAGATAACAACTGTCCTTTCAATGGGAAGTGGCTCTCCGATATCTAGTGTGCCACGGGCGAGGCGCTCCAAGTATTGGGCAGCTTCCGTCATGTTAAACGGTTCTTGTCCTAGGCCGATTGAACATGCATCTTAGATCACTGGGCGTCAGAACTTTGAGACTGACTTTAGTAGTCTTTTGGTAAGTTCTGAACTATGATTTAAGAACCTGCCGCTCACAACCTATATGAATATACTTTTTCAATCGCCTTGGCAACCAAAACCGAGCAGCCTGCAATCTACTCCGTTCATATTCAGCTACAACTCAACCTCCGAAACACTCACTCTCACGCGCCAGCTGGCATAAAACAACTTGGAGTTCTGAAGCGTGAGGCTCAGTGCCTAGCCTCTAAGCATCAAAGAACAACCACGGGCGGGCGGGTTGGGAGAACATGCAGTAGGCACGGCGCCGGGCAGGTGGGAAGCAGCGCAACCGGCTCTCATCCACTGCAGCGATTCGCAAAAAGAACGCTGCTGCTATGAGCATCAGAATCATCACAATGCGCGTTGCTGCATAAACGCACATATATATATATATACCTTTCAGTCGCGCATTAGGAACCTGGGATGATTGTGAGCGGCAGGTGCTTTTTTCCCGTTGACTTACGAAGTTGGTTGCGGTAAACACAAGCAAACAATTAAATCGCACTTCAATCCAAAGATGCTTAGGAGATCGCAGTGACTAAGCCAGTGCTGAGCTAGCTTGCTGTCCCACTCCCGCTCGTCAGCTCGAACTGGCGGCCAGGTGGGTCTTTTTCTAGAAGCGCAAAAAAAGTTACGTCAGTCCGCTGTTACAACTCAGTTGTTGTTTTTCCGTTGAGGTTCACCTCACAAACAGTTTTCGCCAACCTTCAGGGCATCCGCCATGATTCGCAATCTCTCTGGCGATCGTTCCCGGGAGGTATAGCAGCGCTTTGCGCTGAAACTGGCCATCTGACATATATTGCTTTGTCCTGCAAGAGTCATAGAAAGCAGCAGCAACAGCAGGGGTGGATTGAAATCTTGATTACACTGGCGTTGGACCTGGAAGGGGTGGACCTGAACCGTTTCCCAAACATCGCCCGACCTCAAAATAACGTCTGATTCATCAGTCGAATCGCCAATGCGCTTGCGCCAAAACTGGTCGTCAATCTGGTGTCTGTCCAAGCCTCCAAAACATGTTTGGCGCACTGTGTTTTGTCACTTTTGTTTTGATTTGTTGCTTGCAAAAACTGTGAGGCCTGTTTGGCTGAATCTCTCCAAGGAAAACACATGGGGGGCACCTGGCCCCCCAATACCATAGAGATGGTTGCCGTAGCAACGGATGCTCAGGAAGCTCTTCCTCAAACAATCGGAAGCTGCGGACACTGTCCAATGAATATCTGGGATGGGGGACACAGTCCACTAGCAAACTAAGGTAAACAAGTACATTGATAGCCGGAATGCCAATCGCGGATGTTGTTCACAATCCGGCAGAAACGCAACGGCTCGTCGCTTCGGACATGGGGTTTGTCCAAATAGCTCTGCACGCAGTCCCTGAAGCTGTTCGGGCTATGAAGTTCGTTGTGGCCTTCAATCAACGCAGCGACACCAGAAAAAAATTGATCGATGTCTTCATGCGAGTGTCCCTGCTCAAGGCAGTTTAAAGATCCAGAATGGATCCGTCCAGAGCCTATCAGAAAGGCTAACAGCCTCAACAGCGTTGAGTTTTTGACTTCTCTGCTGGTGTTGTCGGATTGACAATGAAGTCTGACCCGTCGTAGGTCTGCGGACTGGCCCACAATGTTGAGGTGGTGCATTAGCAGGTCCGAGCACCAGCTGCTGTCTTTCCGTACGAAGACATCACTCAATATCATCGAGAGGACTATTACTCCATGCGCGTCCAGGTTCGGACGCATCAGCGACTGGAGCTCCTTGCTGCTGACTGCCAACGACCTTGGCCACTTGAATTTGGCCTTGTCCATTCCGTCGAGGATGCAGCAAACGCTGAGGAAATCGGCGCCGCCGCTGGTCAACTTGCTCAGTGATCTGGCCTGCCAGTAGCAGGACCGGTCAGCATACTGTCGGCTCAGGTGTCGGCTGTATTCAAGCATTTGGGCTCGATGAGCTAATCTATCATCGGTGATCCGACGAAGGATGAGTTTATGTTTGACGCTCATCGCAAATTGAACCATACACTGATAAGTCCCAGTCAGAACCAGGCCAATGTATGAAAGCGTTTGAATTAATGATTCAATGCAACATGTGAACTCGCTTCAGTGAGTGCCCAGCAAGTCTGCACTGGACTTCAGCCGTCGGAGTTTGCTTTGCTGGGAAAGCTCGGGCCCTGTCAAGATATCAGAGTTCGATGGCAAACTGCAACTTGGAACTTGGAACTGAACAAACTGCACGCTAACACAATGACCAAGATGGGAGCCTGAATCCACAGTCCTCTTTCTGTCTGGCTGCGGTGGACCACCTGAAACACAAAAGGCGAAACGCCTGACTGATTGAGCCAAACGGACCAACAAAAACTGCGCCTGAAACAGAATGCGCAGCATCTGACGAAGAAGTTGCGCTTGTGGAAGTCGCAACGGGGGAAGCCTGCCACTGATTCGAATTGCACCCCCCGTTTAAAAATACAACAAAACACTTTAATTTACCACCCACGAGATTTCAAGATAATATAGCCTCTGAGGTTGTTGTCTCGGCGGTGCTTGAAGTCCCTGGGCCCTGGACAGCTGCAGAAGAAAACCAATCTAAAGAGAGTTGGGGTCACACAATGATCGGCCTCCTCTGACTTCTTGATCTCAGTTTCACCGTCGTCATCGTCCAGAACAATCCACTCATCAGATGACAAGTCATCAGCACAGCTCTCTTCCCAAGCAAAACGCGAACGACCACAATGCAAATTGCGCTTGCAATAAAACGACGCAAGCCATCCTTGAATGGGGCCGGGCATGACACCTACTATAGCTTGGGGTGGAACCCCAGGGCTCCTACAATTTTGAGCTTGTAGCTAGCGGCCATCAGCAACAGTTGAAGTATGTTGAAGTACATTGAAAAACGGTAAGCGTGTCAATCCAGCCAGGCACACCTGGACTTGAGCTGGTCAAGGAAGTTCTAGAAAACGAAATCCTTCTGCCGGGCCGGACGTGGCAGGACATTGAAACCTTCTTGCGTGCTTGCACTGTGCACATTGAATTACTGTTCCACGGGCATCCGTTGCCAGGTACAATCAAAGTGTCTGTTCACACATAAACAGAATCTCCAGAACTACACACTCTCTGAAAACACTGGGGCGTAACAGCGCGAGGCCAACAAAGGAATAAGACATGGGGAATCACCTGGCATACCGGGCATCGTGCTGAATGGCATGCGCTATGGTGTGGAGCGCTAGCCTTCCACACGCTGGGATGACCACATTCCCTAGGGTGTGAAGTCTGTGCTGTTCAGCCTTTTGGAGTTTCCCTTGGCTGAGCCACTGAGAGACTGGCAAACGACCACGTTTGTTCCAAACGGCGTTTGCCTTTGCATGGATCGTGGCATTGCTCATCACGTCCAGAGCCTGCCAGCAATGAATATGCCCTTTTTCCACAGAGAAAATCAAGCCTTCAATGGATGAGGTTTTCCAGAGCTCGGCTTGAACGCCACTAGGAAAACCCGCTCCCGCCACACCGTGGAACAAAACATGAGTAGCTATTAGTTTGTTTGTTGTAAACTGCACATAACAAAGGCCCACACATGGGCGCCGCACATCTTCCCAGTGGTCGTAGCCCAGGCAACATCAAAATGCCTCTTGTGGAACTCCTGCGTGGCAAAACTTTAGCTCTTCCAAAACACATTGAAACTTGACTGCGACACGCCTTGAACATGTAGTTGCGGAGGGGCGCCATGTCACCACTGAGCAAGTTGCTCACGTTCTCCAAAAGTGCGAAATACCTGCAAACATGACTGAAGCTGAGAATTATTCTACGTAGAACACCAATCATATCAACTTGCTCGTAACTTGGGGATCCATTTTTGGTGCGTGTACCAAATTGACATTCAATGACTCTTAATGACATCTTCGTCCAGCATCCGCAACACTTGACATATCAACCCCGATCGGTCGTCCAGGATCCCTAGCTTCAAACCGGATCGCGAGATTCCCTTAGCGAAAAGGAAAGCCGGCTGCAACTCAACACACAAACACACACAGAAACTAACCCTGCAAGCTGTCAAATTATGTGAAAAGAACACAACAGATACAACAGCAGAAAACAAAATGGTATCAAGGATCTTGGCATGGAAATCCGCCCATGATTCCACATGGACGGTCCGTCACATCTGGGCGTGAGTTCAAGCAAAGCGGACTGAAAGTTTTCACGTCAGAGAATATGGGCCCAGAAGTCGCCATGCCATCTCGTTGGCGGGCTGCTATGACCTGCTGGCAATAGCTGTCGTGCTCAACCTAAGCATCCATCAGCTGGGTTTGCGAGAGGCAGCGAAAGGGTTCTGAGTTGATGGCAAAACATACAGCCCGGAACCGCCTGCAGAGAACTAGATTTCAAAGGCCCGCTGAAGAAAAATCATGTGGGCCCGAACTCCATCATTTCGCATTCCAATCCCAGAACTCCGCTGAATAGGCTGATCGTGGGTAAAGCGTCCGCCTTCCACAAAAATCACAAGGGGTAGTATACCACTGTCACTTTGTTTTCAACATCATTGCGGCCGGATGACCGAAGCATGGAATGGGAACAGTTCATGGAACTGCTGAGCATCGACGGACCCTTCAATGGGAACAGTCCATCCGCGTGGTAGTCCTCAGCACATGAGGCGGCATACTGTGAGGTGGGACATGTTCAAAAAAAGATTCAGTTTGAACCCCCAAACAAACCAACTAGCTGAATCTGAAACTTCATTGAAGAATCCAGCCAAATACTCACCCAGCTCAGGGGTGACGAAGTCGCCGCGGGGCACCTTGTCTGCCCGGCAACGTTGCCGGTAGAAGTCCCAGTAGTATACTTGGGTTGCTAGGTCCTAACAAACAACAATACACCTACCAGGCGTCTGACTGCTTTGCCACTATTTTATAGTCTGGAATTGTGTTTTTCACTTTCCGCCGCAGTCCTGCTTAGCCCTGACTGACAGGTGCTTTTTGCATGCTCTGTAGGTGGCGCCGAAGCAGCCTGAGCTACTTGACTGGCCCAAAGATTTCCAAACGGATACTTTCATTATGACAACCAAGGTCAAGAATTTTGCAACTTGGAAACGTAACGTGCCAAAGCTGTTCGTAATCACCGGAGATTCCACAAGCTTGGGGCCAGTTTTGCCTGTGGCTCTCTGATGCTCCCTTGCCTTCTGCTGCTTCCGTGGCTCAGGGACCTTGCTCCACAAGCAACACCGGGATCAGGATGCAGAAACATGTCCTTGTTCTTTCAAGTACATAGCCAAAATACTAGACGACGAGTGGCCCGAAAGCATTTTTCATCACGTAGGAAGTCAGAGTGCGAGTTATCCGGTAAGTGTGCGGTGTGAAGTGTTACGTAGGTTTCCTGCTAGTAGCTAGTAGCTTAGTGGCTTCAGCTAGATGTCCACACGGCATGAACATGTGAAACATGTGACGTGAACGGGTCATGGAGATTCTCGGTTGCGGAGAGCGTGCCCAAAGTGGAGAGATAAAAGGTGCCCATCATGATGTTCGATGATCTAGGTTATCGACATAGGTGGAGTGGAGTTGATTCGGCGAAACGAAACGAAACGAAACGAAACGCGAAACGAAACACGAAACTAAACGAAGTCGAGTGAGTTGAGGTAGTGTGTGGGTTTCTGTGCGTGTGTCTATGTCCGTGTGGAAACGAGTCTGCGTATGTGTGTGTTCGTGGAAGTTGAGGGAGTGTGTGGGTGTCTGTGTGTGACGCGGCCTCCCAAACCCCCCACCGGCGGCCAAGCGGTGACAGCCCAGCTCATCGTCGTGAGCATTTGGGCTGCTGGTAAGGGGGCAATGGCAGCCAGCGTGCTGGCTTACCCACTTCAACTATGATGCTAGCCAGCGTGCTGGCTTACCCACTTCAACTATGATGGTAGCCAACGTGCTGGCTTTCCGTCTGGACAATGGCAGCCAGCAAGCTGGCTTCCACTGCCTGTTGTCAGCCAAAGTCTTTGCGTGGCTATCGACACGCACGATCTCCGCAGAGGGTTGCGCGCACAGCCGGCAAATCGGACTCTCGCCTGCATTTCGCGCACTCGACACGCACGATCTCCGCAGAGGGTTGCGCGCACAGCCGGCAAATCGCGCTCTCGCCTGCATTTCGCGCCCTCGACACGCGCGATCTCCGCAGAGGGTTGCGCGCACAGCCGGCAATTCGCATTCTCGCCTGTATTTCGCGCACTCGACACGCACAATCTCCGCAGAGGGTTGCGCGCAGCCAGCAAATCGCACTCTCGCCTGCATTTCGCGCACTCGACACGCCCGCAGAGGGTTGCGCGCACAGCCGGCAAAACACACTCTCGCCTGCATTTCGCGCACTCGACACGCATGATCTCCGCAGAGGGTTGCGCGCACAGCCGGCAAATCGCACTCTCGCCTGCATTTCGCGCACTCGACACGCACGATCTCCGCAGAGGGTTGCGCGCGCAGCCGGCAAATCGCACTCTCGCCTGCATTTCGCGCACTCGACACGCACGATCTCCGCAGAGGGTTGCACTTTCGGTTGACGCTGTTCGTCCCGCCCTCCGCCTTTAAGAGAGAATTTATAAAGTGGGGAAATGTTTTTTCATTAGGACATCTCCCGTGCTAGTTTTCCATACTCATACTTGCCTACTCATTGCATGCTGGTGTACCTACTCATTGCATGCTTGCGTACCCATCACTTGCTTACTTACACTGCGTGCTTGCCGAGTGTCAGTGTGTATGTGTAAGTGTCAGTGTCGAAGTGTCGGTGTATGTGGTGCGAATGTGGTGGAAGTGTCAGTGTGCAACTGTAAGTGTCGAAGTGTCAGTGTTCAAAGGATTTTCCGGAAGAACCCTTCGCAATGCTTTCGGGAATAAAGAAAGTTAAATCATCAAAGCCACCACTCTGAGGTTCAGCGGCCCTACATCTGGTGGGAACCCAGCAAACATAGATTCATATTCCAAAATAGTGTCTGGGTCTGCTGTCACCTTCATCCCAAACTTGGGACACTTCGCCCGGAGGGC